TTCACTTTATTTTGTCATGACATTTTGTAATTATTTCCGCCAATTTTCCTATAATAAAGATTAATTTTTGTAAGAAATCATCTTTTTCTTGAATTTTTGTCACCTCAGAAATATATTTCAATCATCCTTATTTTCAATCATCCAAATAATTATACTTTTTTAAATCAGTATATAGAACTTTTTGTTAGTTGAATATGACGACTTGTTGCGTAAGTCAAAAAACTTTCCGTTCAAGCTAAAGGCAATGTAAATATATGTGCTTATGTAGAAATATAAAATATTTTTAACCCTCCGTTTGCATTATGTTTTTTACTAACGCCATTTGCACGGTGATTCTTTTAAGTCCTGTAACATTTTTTTGTTAAACTCATCTAAAAAATCTGAAAAAATTTTGGGATACTCTAGAGAGATTATATTTTATGTTCCAATAGTTACTTTAGTCATTTATTAACAATTTTTTGCAATAACAATTTAAATTTGCCGAAATCGTCAAAAAATGTAATTTCGTAAAAAAAATTCATAACTTAACAACATATTAAAATTAACAAAAATATCTTCAGGTTTTTTTAGATGAAACTATTTTCTTAAAAAAAAAAGTTCTATATACTGATTTAAAAAAGAATAATTATTTGGATAATTGAAATATATTTCTGAGGTGACAAAAATTCAAGAAAAAGATGATTTCTTACAAAAATTAATCTTTATTATAGGAAAATTGGCGGAAATAATTACAAAATGTCATGACAAAATAAAGTGAAATTGCTTCGTCGTTTAAGCCTAGTATAACTCAGAACAAAAAGATCTCAGTTGGAACAAGAAAGGAAGCATGTGTTTTCTCTTGATGTCTGGTGCTGTCAAATCGAATTTTTTCGAATTTTCGGATAACGGATGACGCTACGAGTCTCATACTCTAAAACTATTCTTAAGCCTAGCACAACTCAAAACAAAAAGATTTCGGTTGGAACAAGAAAGATAGTATAAGTTTACTCTTGGTCCGATAGACTGTTTGTCAAAAAACTTTTTTTTAATTTTTCGGGCTTATAATTAAACTTATTGATTTGTGCTTTTGGAACAATGTTTGGAACAACTAGAACAATCTATATCGGTATCGGAATGCTTTATTTTCAAAAAATGGGGTGCCAGGTCAAAAACATTTTTTTCATTTTTTGGACTTATAATTCAACTTACGGATTTGTACTTTTGGAACAATGTTTGGAACAACTAGAACAATCTATTGCGGTATCAGAATGTTCGATTTTCGAAAAGTGGGGTACCAGCTCAAAAAATCATTTTTTTTTGTTTTATTCGAAAACCATTTCGAATGAAGCAATATCACTTTGGAACAATGTGGTACAAAGTCAGAACAATCTGGAACAACTTTCGAAATTATAAATTTCAAAAAATGGGGTGCCAACTTCATACACTCTCGTCCTCTGGAGGAGCGCGACGTCGATTGACTTATCCAGCGGGTTTCGACTCGATCACCAGGCAAGGTAGGCTATCTTACGAACGGATCACCCATTGCACGAGGAGGCAGATTCCGGTCGCGTCTACGGAGCCCCGACCGGAGGCAGAATCACCATTGTCGCTGGCTGTCGTGCGCCCGGATGCAGGCGCCACACGGGCGGCTTACGCGGGCCCTCGTGAGGATGGGGAACGGGGGCGCGAGACGTGGTCGCCGTTTTTTGCGGGGATTAAATGCGAGCCGATGCCGCGATAAGCCGTAGGAAACCACGGGTGGAAGCGGTACCGGTGACAGATTATGCTCGTGACTGCGATCCGCTTCGTCGTCCGCCGCCGACGACCGCCCGTTTTAACACCGCCGGGGTATTAAAAAAGCCGCGAGCGGCAAATTCTTACGATAAGTGAGCTGCCTCCGCCACTTCTCTCGCCGCGCTGAGACACCGGCGGTCGTGGGACGCGCGTCCGAAAAAGCGGCCCCCTCGCGCTATGATTTTTCACGCTAAAAGCACCATCAGTCAAATCGGCGGAACGCATTCGGCTAGTATCGAAAATTCCGAGCCTCGAAGGGGCGCAAAGGTAGGTGTCGGATCGAGCGAAGGGGCGAGAGACAAAGTCGCGAGGGACCTTTGCAGTCATTCGGGGGATAGGCGGAATTCCGAATTAATAACGTCCCGGGAGGCGCTCGCGAGAACGCAAAACAAACGCAGGAAAAACGAGAGATTATACGCAGCATTGTGGTGGTGATTTTGTTAAGAAGCAGAGAGAGGAGAGAAAGATAAATTTATTTGCGCCCTGAGACAAATATAACGTTCAGATACGTTACATTCATTAGATTAAGGTAAACGTTAATTACGACAATAGAATATTGATTGGATAAGTTCTCTTTATATATAAAATCAAAGAAAAGGGCCTTTGATGGAAAAAGAAAACGCGTTTGGTCGGTACTTTAATTTTTATGAAATAAATACTTCTATACATCCAGAGGACATGCACTAACTTTAATAATTTTCAGTTAATTTGATTACACTATTACATCTCTCGACTCTTATAGGCTCTTTTCCCTTTCTTTAATTTTGTTAATTACGACAATTAATTTTAACGATTATCGCGATAATTAGCAATTATTTTTCATTAATGTATTCTTCGCGCGTTTGCGCTGATCTTTCTCACCCGTTCACGATTCCCTCGACGATCCTGCTGTCGAAGGAGGAACGTATCGTTGGCGCGGGTGGCGGATATTAGCCGCGGATAAGACCGTCGAGGCAATTCCGCGCGCGTTACCCGTCCACCGAGGGGGTAATCGTGCGTTTTTTTTTCTTTCCTCTTTTTTTTATTTTTCCCTCGCTCTCTACGTCCTTTCATTTGCCGCGGGATTGGGGCAGAGCCCGATGTCCGGGATAAGCCGTAGGAAAGCGCGGCGGGAGCAATGCCGGTGACAGATTACGCCACGCCGCTCCGCTCCGCGCGATCCGCAGTCTGGTTCTAAAGCCGCGCTCCAGTGGAAAAAAGCAGCGAGGATCCGCCGAGGACAGATCCTCGTCCGGGTGTGGATTACCTACTCTACATCGGTACGTACACGAGAGCGACCGTATTCATTATATCCGGCGCTAATCCCCGAGCAACGCCGAGTCGGCCGAGCGGATTGTCATCGGAAAGATATAAAAATAGAGACATGTGCGCTGCGCGTAATGTTTCTTCTTTTATTGCCAAGATTACGACTAGAAATTTGTCTCATAGCCTCTGATCCTATATAGGTCGATTCTAGCTATCTGATTTGTTATCAGTTTCTGGTAAGTCATTAACGCAACGTGGCAATCAGAATCTTATTAATGAATAATAAGGAATATTAATCTGTGTAATTCTTGCGTCATTTTAGAAACATTCAAACAATCAATAATTTTATGATCTCCTCCTCTTTTGTAGAAAAAAATTACAAACGTTGGAAGCAACTACATATGTTGAACAGAAAATAAAGATGTTAACTGATGATAAGACATTTTGTTTCGATTTTTTTTACTCCTATGTAGGGAAAGAAAAGCGATAGTATCCGATAGTATAGATATTATAGTATAGATATAGAAGTGACAGCGAATCACACGGAGGGTTAGTAATTGGAACCTTATTGACAATTAGAGCCCGATAATATCATCTTCGGCGAACCAGATGACTTTGGGATCAACCTGATTGGGGCCATGAGATAAATTAATAATCGGGATATCTTTTATCGAATCTTCTCTTCATCGAGTAAATCTCTCTTCTGATACAAAGCTTCTTCTGGATTTTTCCTATTATTGATCTTTATATTCCTGTCTCAATTTTTCATATAAAAATCACTCGATTTCTCCGATATATTGATGCAAAAGCGATTGCTAATTTCTTAACGCGATTTCCAATATCCGCAGTTTGAAGAGACGGCAATCAACTCGAGAGATATGTACCTAAGGAGGCGAGAGAGAAAAGGTGTCGACATGCCAGTTCAGATTACACCGCGCAAACAAATGAGTCTACCAAACGAAGGAACGGGGGAGGCCTTACTTTTACAGGAAGACGAATGAACTGGCTTTCCAAATACGCGCGCTTCGAATTCAATTCCTATCTGGCGCACAATTGCGGCGGGCAATGTAGAAAATTTGTATAGAAGATACTTCAATTTCACGATCTTCGCAGTTCGTTCCCTCACTTTTCGTCCAATGAAAGCTGTTTGAAGAAGAGCCTGTATCTCGCGATATGAACCAATCGTGCAGCGATAAAGCGACGTGCGACTCAATGAAACCGATCAATAAACAGAATATCGCGCGTATTACACGTGTTGGAAAATTGTCGCGGAGAATCGCGCATTTAAATTCAACACGCGCGAGACACGGTCAGGTGGAGCCGATACGACAGCTGTGACGGAAAGTCAAAATGATTTTGTTGCTGTCTGGTGTAATGCGAGGGCAGAGACCCGTGACGGTGTTTGTCGCGAGCCGCTAACGAGCAAGAATCCCCCGTTTACCCTCTCCTCCCTCGCTCGCTCCGAGTGCTCGCCTCCCGCATGCCGTCTCTCGTGAAGCACTCTCGGCTTATATAAGTCTTATAAAGAGCAAAGCGGCGGGACCACACACATCCGATCCTATCTGCGGGCTTTTCTGTGCGCTTCGCTCGTCTTTCTCTCTCTCTCTCTCTCTCTTGTCCCCCTCTCTCTTTTCTCCTGCCTCCTTCCTGCTACGCGCGGACTGTGACTCTCCGTTTGTTCTCCCTCTTACAACGACTCGCCCCCTAAACCGAGCTCGCTCTCTCGTGTGTCCGGCAGATTATACGCGATCGCGGTGAAGGCAACCGCGAGTACACGCTCTCGATTGTTATCCGAATGTGTTTGATACGCTTCGCCTTAGCTCGACGAACCGGCCGCCGAAGGGGTATGTTTAACGCTCGTTTAACGAAAGCGCCGGACTTTCACGTATGAATTATTCATCGTCGATCTCACGATTGATCGTGACTCTGTCGCTCGGAAAAACACGTTTCACAATAGCTGAAAAATAGTTGGATACACTTACCCCATTCTGCGTCGTCCAATAAAAGCGCCCCATGAGAACAGAAAAAAAGAAAACACGGAAGATAAAAATTGGCAAAGAACCAGCAATTAACGTGGAATAACGAATCGTTCAACAAATCTAGAGATTATCTCTTAATCAAACTTTGGTTACTTGATTCTGGTTTTATCAGGTCTGTCAAAAAGTTCGGTTCGGCTTCCTACCTCCTGCGAGACACGATGAATCAATTTTCTTCTACGACAAAAGTATGTAAATGCGAAGGATCATAAATGACGATTACTTGGTTGATGAATAATCTTTCAACTTAAAAAAATTTTTCAATTTTCAGTTGAATAATAATAAGATCAAGTTTCATTAGAAGAACCAAAATTTTTGACTGACTCGATATAAGCAGTGTATTTAACGTTTGTCTCAACTATTTCCTCGAATTATATTTATAATCACTCAATAAATTAATGAGGCGTTTTTAAAGCTTTTACTTCTTTTGTATCGTGAATATTTTGTTGATATTTAACTGAACATTCTCTCAGAGAAAGAACACTCACCGTAGTTTCATTGACGCTCTTGATGTAGTCCTTGTAGGTGCCCGCTATTAATTTCACGATGTTCTCGTCGCCGTGTTTGGCGCCCCAGTGCAACGCCGTCTACAACAGGCACGAAGAAAGGCGGCGGTGATAATTCGCTCGTCGCTCGTTTAAATCGCGCGTCGGCCTGCGCGCGGAACGGGGGATTACCGCGAGAGTTATGCGAGGAGTGCGCGAGGAGGCCGCGCGAGAACGGCAGCGCGATAAGTAAAAATGTATCAGCCCGGCTGCGGGATTTATGCGCCCGGCTGCGGGATTTTTCGGCCGAGTGCCGAAGGTGGCCCGATTGTAGACACGACGCGAGCAGCTGTAGCGTATTTTCGGGGTGACGCGCCGGTGAAATATTCGCGAATTAAGCGACGGCAACGGCCGGGTGTCAACCCGCTACGACCTGGATGAATGGCCACCGTCGCCCGCGTCGGCCGCGCTACTCGAGAGAGGAAGATCCCGTAGGGCGGTAGTCGATTACGGTCGGAACGGAGGAGTCGGCCCGAGGAGAGAGCTGGAAAGAGCAAATAGATGGAGCTTGAATTACTTCCACTTAGAAGTGCGAAAGCCTCGCTGGAGATGGGACAGAAGGAGGGCAAAATTCTCGGCTTGATCGCGGGCTCGGAAGACAACCGACGCGCAAATATTGCCCGAAATAAGAAGCATCGAGTACACGAGAGGGTTCATGAGAGGGTAAAAATAAGCGCCGTGGAGGAGACTGGAGAGAAAGAGAAAAAGAGAGGTGAGAGAGAGGAAGAGAGAGATCAACGGATATCCGAAACACAAACGGGTTAGATGGAGCGTGAAGCGCGTGCGCGTTCAATTATAATTAATCGGGCAATAATTAATGGCGCAGCGGTTATGCACGCTCCGAACTATTTTCCCGAAGAAAACAAAAACGTCGCGGACAGGAAGGAACTCGTAATCTCTCCAACGGCCTGTGATTAATAATCACCGGCGAGAATCGCGCGGTTACTTAATCACAGCGCCGTTTAATTACCCACATCGTGCATACATCGCGTTATCGAACGCATACCGTAACCCGACTATGACCGGGTGCGATCCCTTAGCCGAAGCGGGCCGGAATTAGCGCGGCCAGATTAATCACCGAACCGCCGCGCGCGACGTCAACTATTAACGCGACACACATACACTCTCTCTCTGCCGCGCGCTCTCTATCTCTGTCTATCTCTCTCTTTCCGATCCGAGGGGTCGCACCCCTAAAAGGCATACACGTTTTTCGCGTAGAGTCGGTGGGGGTGCTAAGCAAGCTTTCGTAGCGCGACATACGTTTTAATTCCATCAAGTCCGCGTCCCGCGGGTAGATTAAAAATAGTGTCGACGGCAATGAGAGGGAGAGAGAGAAAATCTCCCTGCGAGAGATTCGCGCAGGGCGTCACAGAAGCTGCCCTTCGCGACCCGAAGCCGACTGCTGCTATCCAGCGCCAACCAGCCAGCCAGCCAGCCAGCCAGCCAGCCAGCCAGCCAGCCAGTCAGCCGGACCCCCCTCGCCCCTGACGGCCGACTGCAAGTCGCGGACCACCTCATTAGCGGACGGGGGAAAAAAGCTCATTCTAACGAGGCTACGTACCTAATGACTGGAACCACGCGCGAGCGGCCGAGCGTGTACGTGAGACGGATCGCGCGTTGCCACCACACGTGCTCGGGTCTCGTCTCTGTACTACGAGGGCGTGGGTACACCTTGCGCGGACTCTCCCCGCTCATTTTATATGCACGGCTCTCCGCGGCAAATTAACGGACGACGCATCGGACGACGAGACGTACACGACGCTCTCTCGTGATACCGCGTCGCCACGTGGCGCTAATAACGTCAGTCTGGAGGAGGAGGAACACGAGGAGATATGAGGCGCTTCGTGAGATCGATCGATCGACCGATCAAATTGGCAATCGTTCACTTTGATGCGACGATCGATCATTAACACGATTAGAAAATCTCGAAATTGGAATGCAGATCATAAAAATAAAACATCCTCCCCGGCACCTGTGCCTCATTAAGAACAAGCAGCAGGACTCGCTCACACCTGCAGTTCTCGCGGAGAAATTGTCCTGCTTAAACCGTACAGCTGAGTCGAAATTTCGATCCTACTTAATATTCCACTTAACGCCTACTTTGATACTCTGAAATCTGCATCAACCTCTTTTCATTTAACCTACCAACTTTGCCAAGAAGTCCTCTTTTGAACCCACCAGCGACATTTTGTGTTGCCATTTAGAAGCCGAGTAGAATCTTAGTAATTTCTATGTAATTTATATTAAACATATACTGATCTTTCAGAATATACATATATAAATCAGAAAGGTTCAGGTCGAAAATAGGGCTGAAATTTCGATTCGAATAGAGACAAATATTTTTCTTGTAAATTAAACAAATTAATGAATTTGTAAATTCATCTTCATACAGCCCCTACATTGTAATTGTAATATTACAATCATAGACTATAATTATTGGCAGATACTTCCTCATGAAGCGACAACTAACTCGTCAAAGTATTGAGCAGTCGATCGTCAAGTAAGCGAATCGATCATCAATCGGTGTGTCGAGAATTTCAGTATAAGAATTTTTCATTTTCGATAATCCTCGAGTACAGCCAAGTTTACTGCTCAAGTTTTAGCGCTTACGTTCATCTTATATGCCATCCACTTTGCACAGCTTGGCGGGTAACCTGCCCCCGCATGATGCGCGTTATCCGTACATATTACGGGAGATATTGACGAGCGGTGCGGTATGGTACGGTATTTATGCGGACGGAGCGAGTAATGGAGGTGCGGTGCGGTGGCCGCTGTACAATTATTAAACGTACCTCGCATAGCGGCCCGAGCCGAGCGGAGTCATTAACTGCGAAGTGCGCGGACATGGACCCGTCTAATACGCAGGTCCGCGGTGGTGAAGATGCAAGAATCCGGCTTGAATTACACGCCGAGGCGCAAAATGAATTTTTACGGTGGTCTCGCGGGGCCATCAGCGCTTATGTGGGTATACCCGCGGGGACCCCGGGCTCGCCGGCGAACGTCTACTTTCCCAGCGTGCTAACGAAGTTTTATGAAGCGCGATAGCGCCATACCTACGCCGCGCCGTGGACTTTGGCGCTCCTTAATTTGTGAATGCTGCTGCCGCGCGGTGTCGGCCGCGCGCCGCGCCGCAAAAGAATGGTATGTCGGCCGACAACGTGATATATCTTCGGTCCTCTGCCCCGGACCTTCGGCTGGGAAGAGTATAGGTGAACGTGGTGCGCGGCGCGGCTCTGTACGGTAGCCTCCTCGCTTCTTTTCCCCGACGCGGCGCGGCTTAAACTTTCTTCGCCACGGAAGAACGCCCGGACGGCGTGAGAAAGCACGCGGGTATCGAAGTATATCGAAGCCGACTTGGCTTGTTCCCTCTCTCTCTCCCTCTCTTTCCGCCCTCGGTAACACCTCGGGAAACCGAATAATTCCCGGTCGAATCGGCGACCAAGCATCACTGAGAAAATGATCGAGCTGTTAACGCGATTAAGAACTTCGAAGTTGGAATTCAGGGTGTTCGATCGTGCATCTCTTCCCCTCGCGAAAAGTGAAATGTTTCATTGCATTCGCCAATGAAAATCTCCACCTTTCACGAGTTCACGCCAGGAGAAGAGATTCATGATCGATACCCGGATTCCAAGAGTACACGTTCCCAGATCCTAAAAGTAAACGTTCCCGGTAACTGTCTTCGCTTGCGTGACACATGAGGAAACGTAAGCTTCTCTAATACTTACAGCTCTTCAAAACATAAGTACACATAAATTACCATGGCAAGTTACTACACAGTTCTTACATAGAAAGGATATTATCGCTTTTTTTTCATGTAAATTTTTCTCAATTTTACTATTTTTTTAGTAATGCAGGAAAACAGGAAACAGAGTCTACCTTGTTAAGGAACTTAGCAAATTTTTTTCAATAATTCAGTCCCCAAAATATAAATATAAAATAAGCACATATGTGTGAATAAAAGGACAATAAACCGCTGCAAAACATGTCGATCTATCCCTTACAAAGTTCTATGATAATTTTAGTAAATTCTCTTCATGTATGACAAACAAAGTGGCGAACATGACAGTTTTGCGTTCTTGATAATTCCCGTATGCAAATAACGAATTCATTTGTTACGTAATTTTCATTGCTTATGTTTTCTTCCTTGTGTTATTTATTCTAAATCACTCGGCAGAACGAGCCTGTTGCAAAGGCTCGTCCGTCGGTTCGACGAGGAGGAAGCTGGTGGTCGTCGATAACGCGCCTCTGAATCTCTGCGCGATTCCTGTTTCTTCGCCTCGGCATTAATTAATAGCGGCGTACATACATGCATGCATACGCACGTACGCATACATGTACATACATACATATGCACATCTAATTTTTACACTAATTAGAGCCTTAATTAATGTGCGGCGCTGTAGCAGCCGTCCCGGCGCTAACACGATTCCGACCGAGATGCAAGAAGGCTACCGACCGTGACGGTTATAGTGGGCAGAGCCGGAGCACAATGTGTTAACGTGCGACAGTGTCACTACTACCGCCGTCCGTGGCTCGCTGCGAGGTGAACAGAGCAAGACGCTCGTAAATGAGCCGCTAATGATCGGCAATCTAAACTTTTACTCGAAGAATCCGATCCAAGCAAGAAACAGTAATCAATGACGATCAATCAAATACGATACTCTTTCCATTAGCTCTCAAGAGAATCCCGTGATCGCGTGAGACGTCTTTTTTTGTAGCGAACCGCGGGATTTTCTTTCCGACTTTCGTCGACTCCTCCTCCTCCTCCTCTTCCTCCTCCACCTCTTGCGCCTGCTTCTTCCGTGGGACCCGATGTCGCCGTGACGACGTGTGTACGCCACATGTGCGCGAAACTACGTAGCCACGGCTATATAGTTGTCTCCCCGTGGATACTGATTAAGCCGGACGGAGGAGAGACCGCGGTCGCATCGGGGTCCCAACGGCAGAAACAGCAACAGCAGAAGGAGCAGCAACCGTCGCAGCAGCAGCAGCAGCAGCAGTAACAAACAACACTAACAACGGCGGAGCGAGAGCGGGAACGG